GCAGTCTTTGATCAAAGACGGCTGTTCCAGAATCACCCGTGGGAGTGATCTGTAGGAAATCTTCACTTTTAAGAAGCTCCAGAAGTAATTCTTATGTTCATAGGTATTCATCGAGCACCTACTAATGTGCCATGCACTTGGCTAGGTTCTGGATATACAAGGGGGAGCAAATGCAGATGGCTTTATGAGGCTTGCAGTTGAGTGAGGCACAAGGTAGTAATCACACGGTAATGTTAGTGAATGCATGTCCCTACATACTGAGAAGAGTCCAGTGGACTTGTGAATGTACACCAGTGAGTGGATTTGAGCTACATTCTGAAAGACAAAAAAGATGTGATTAGGGGAAAAAGTTGGGGGCAGGCATTTCAGACAAATGGAACAGAATTTGCTAAGACTGTGGTGAGGGGGACATTGGCACATTTGGTCAGAAGGCCAGGGAAGCCAAGGCCAATTTATTCAGAGCTTTATTGGCCTTGGATCACTCAAAGTACAAACATTTGAAATTCAAATCTGGACTTTTCTGGCCATTTAGAATTATATTTGTCATGGTCAGAGAATAAAACAAAATTTAATGGTGTATTAGCTTGATTAGTAATTTTTAAATATTTAGAAATATACCATGTGGATCTTACATATGCTCTTATTCCATACCCTACAATTGTCATAGCCAGGTCTAGGTGAGGCAATTTTTAAAAAGACAATAAGAGAATGTACTTTATTTAATTTCACTGCTTTTAGCTTTTTGCAGAAGCAGACAGGAGAAACATTAAACCTAGAGTCTGTCTCATTCATTCCTTCTTGCTGTATTACACAAAAACCTTACTTAATAAACCACAGAGTTAAGTAAAAGTTGGATATGTCCTGGACGTCTTTCAAGGGGATTCATCGTTATAAGCACTAAGACTTCATGGTGGTGCTGTTTTACCTATAGTCAGTTTCACAGCCTATGGGTCATACCATAACCAATGTTGTGACTCCAAGGATTCTGTATATGGAATGAAGTTGACAGACACGAATTAAATACAATATAGGGTTAGTCTAGTGAAGGTTTTATGTGCCTCACATCTTGATCTAGAAAAAGAAAGGTCTTACTCTAAGTGTTATAGACAAAGTTTCAGAACTTTTCCTCTGCCCTCAATCCAGAATTTTCCATGGATTTCAATTACAATGCTAAATTTTTATAAGCAATTCAAATATTTTGGATTATAGGCTGTTTTCCAATTATGGCTTTGAGATTATCATTAAGGATCCTCAGAGTTCAAGCATTATCGGTGGAGACTGAGAAAAGCACATATTTCGATAATCTTCCAAGAATTCTTACAATGTTAAACTACTGTACATTTATGGTCAGAAATATGACTGGGAGATCGGCACTGTGGGGTAAGCCACTCGTTTCTTCTCTGGTATGTGGCCCAAACAAGAAAAATCAAATTAGTGGTATGTGCTTCCCCGAGTCTT